TGGCCTCGTCCCAAACGAAAGGCTTTCCATTCACAGACACCTTATCGAAGAGTAGTTCAACACGTTCATTTCGTTCCCTGTTTACAACTGTGCTGTCCCATAGATTCTTCCTGGCCTGACGCACCTTTTGTGAAAAGTCCTGAGTTACATATAAGCCCGAGTTTTTAAGTTTCACACAGTTCCTCAAAATTTCCAGTTTTTCGCGATAATCTATTAATTTGACGATTACAGGTCTTGTTTTATTAGGCCACTTTGAGCCAAGCCGATGGCATCTTTCGATTCCGGTTACTGTTAAGTCTAACTTGCCCTTAAAGAAGTCATCAGTTATGCGTGAAGTAAGCGATGGCAGTGTTTCATCTTGAGGTTCAGAGACACCATGAATGATAATGTTGTTCCTCCGACTTCAATTTTCAAGGTCATCTACTTTTTTTGCTATGGAAGTAATGGCGCTTTTCATCGTGCTTACGTGCAACTCAACAGCAGCAACCTTGGTTTGGCATACTGATAGATTTTCTAAACCACATTCCAATGATTCTAGTCGATCTTTAAATAGAGCTAATGTGTTTGTTATGTCCTCCTGTGAACTGTCAAATTTGTCCATTCGCTTCATCAACTTTTTTGGCCCGCGAGTAACTCTAGAAGTAGGCTGCGATCACTTAAGTTTTCTGATCATGATTCTTTGCCACGCACAGACTAACTAGATTCCTTGGGTCCAAGATTCGACTCAACGTCACCACAGAGGGATAATAAATCCAGTAAGTGCAGGCAAATCACAACAATACGCTCTAGACATTGTGGGCAAGGTAGCAGCACGAGAAAAACATTATTACTTTTAAATGATTTATCTCCAGGTAAATAGTTAACCTGTATAAGAAACAGAAAAGACTTGTAGCGCATAGTTTCAGACGCGCTGTCACCTTGCCCACCGGAGCTGCAGGACCAAGCCGGCGAACTTATAAGATTCTCCGTCGATGACGCTCCCCGGAAGGTGACGTGAAAGTCAGCAGGTAGGACGGGCGGTTCCAGTGAAGGTGGCTCCGTAAAACAGCAGGAATTTTGATTCATCTTTACGGCACTATCCATGCGATGATTACCGTGGCTGAGGTCGAAAGATGAGCAGATATGGCCCTCCGTTGACGCATGCGTGATCCAACCAAGAGTCAGGATCTGTATAAGAAACAGAAAAGGTTTGTAGCGCATAGTTGAAGACGCGCTGCCACTTTGCCCACTTATTAATATTTAATAATATCATATTTAATAATAATAATAATAATAATAATAATAATAATAATAATATCTTTTATTCTTTCAAATAAAACAGTACATGTCACTAGGCCTGCCGAAGCCAATTGGTGGCGTGATCGGCAGAGCCTAGCAGGAAGCAAAACAAACCGGACGCGTTACAAGATTGTATTTTATGGCCTAAGAGGGATGATAGGACAAAAACAACGTGCATATAAGATTAGAAACAATAGGGCATACAAGCAACAGTTACTAGCATTACACAATAGTTACAGCAATTGAAAGTGAAAAGGTATAAAAGAAACAGGAACAGAATGATAGCAAATGCTCCTTACATAAGTGAACAAATAAAGCATATGCGCTACAGTTAAAGCGTAAGCTTTAACGCACTTTGGACGCCGCCACTGCGAGACGATTTTCTAGCGCGCCGTGCTATTGCTATTCGGCATGAATACTACACGAGCAGTTGGACCGTAGCCTATCAACGCCGTCGAACACGTCTTGCACTATTGCGGGGCTTTCTTTGAGCTCATCATGTATAACATGCATGCAGTAAATTTGAACCTGCATTTTACAGCTGGCCCTACAACGTATACACTTGTGGAAAAAGGCAGCCTGCCATTTTATAATCGGTTCTGGAAATCGTGAACCGGCGAAAGTCTTTCAGCGTGTATATAATTATTGCGAAGTGAACCACATTGCATTGAAAAGACACAATCGTTATAGTTATAATTATTGGAGTTATATAGCATTTTCTGAACACACACACGTGCGAACTGCGTTTTCAATGCGTGTCGCACGATCCAGATCGACCATGAACTTACCTTTTCACAAGGAAGCAAACAAGACGGCAGTGCGTCGGATTTGAGGGGATGCCTCTTCACATCGCTGCACAAGCACGGAACCGCGTTCATAGTCTGCCAGCTTAAAGTGGCCACCGCATACGTGTAAATCCCGGCGCCGTTCTGATACGGGCAATCCGATGCGCTGCAGCCACTCGGTGCGCCTGCTGTTTTTAAAGACGATAGTCTTTTTTGGGGACCTTTGACGGAAAAACTTTGGTCTGTCTGTCTGTACACTTGTCTGTTTGTCCGCCCTAACGATACCTCAAACGGCACCAAACGGCCAACCCCATCCGCAGCGCCCACCAATATTGATCAAGGTTTAGTGTTCATAGTTGTGCGATTGTCAATTAAAAAGCAATTATTGCGGATATCTCAGGCGCCACAACAACGCTTCGATGTTTTGTATGTCCGCCTTTATACCAAAAGAGGCACACACAAGTGACTCCAAGAAATGTAGCGTTTATCGCGCTGCACTGACAATGCAACGCGATGCTCTGAAAGGTGTTTCCAACGCTTTGCTACGATGTCATGGTGGTGGCACCTGCCCGTCGCTTTGCGTTCTACATTTTATCACCTCCGAGAGTGGCGCGCATTTTTCTCCGCAGGCTGCACGCCTACGTTTTCGAAGATAAGTGCCTGATGGCGCTTGCGTTTAACGTGCCTTTATGCCTAGTTCGCCCTCCGCTACACGCTCGAGGTACTCTAACACAGCGCCTCTAGAATACCGTTCACTTATTTTCTTGCACAAAACATCAAATAAACGTTTTGTTCACTCTCTCCGGACGCAAGACTGTCGTCTTTCGACGACATTTGCGGTGTAACATGCAGATATCGAACCATTTTTTTCCCAGGCGCACAGTGTCATATCTTCACTTGTCGCCAGTCAACGTACTTGCAGCCAACAACGAGGGAAGGGTGATTCATGGTGCCACAGTGTATAGGCGTTCTGTGATGTCTCAACAGCCGCGTGATGCCCACTCAGTTTGAAGCTCACGTCAACATAGAGTGTGTGGGATCCAAGCAGACAACGTTCGCCGTGCGCCGGAAGTTCCAAAGCTTTGTTGTAAACTGCGGTCGTCTTCCTTTTCTTTGTGGAACATTTTATTCAAAATAAATTATAAATTGTTTTACAAATTACGAACAGCATTTGTTCTCTGGTAATTAGGAAAGAAATACCTGTGCTGCGTGTTCCGCAGTCAAGCAGATCAGCTGAAAACGATGACGTAAATAGGGCAGATCGCGTCGCTTGGTGTGTGGGCGATTGAAAATGTGTTTGGTCGAGTCGCAGCGATCTGCAGCGATCTCAAACGATTTGCAACTTTAAAGCTTTGTAATAAATTACACACTTTACGCAGAGAGCTCAAATCAGTCTCTAAATTTCATTTCATTTTATTTCCTTAATGACCCGCGAAGGGGTATTACATAAGGGGTGGGTAAGTATAAAGACAAAACATAGTAGCCAAATATTTAACATAGAAAGTGCTTATTGATATTTTCTATGAACGATGATGAGCAGGAAATGGTTGCGATTTCAGTTGGAAGGCCGTTACAGTCTGGTGCGGTACGTGGAAAAAACGAGGCAGAAAAAGTAGAAGTCCGGGAACGTGGCCGAGCAACGTGAAGCAAATGACTCTAGCGGTGAGTTATGCGTGTTGCGGGAACAATATATGAATTACCCTTGGGACTTGGCCAGCCGGCCCAATGCGTTAGCGAAAAATCCCCAAAACCATTTCAGGGTCCATTTAAGGACTTCGACGACCCTGTAAGAAATAAAGATAGTATACAAATAAATAAACGTTGCCAGCCAATGAAAGAAAAAAGAGAAAAGTTTATCGTGTTTGGTGACGGCAACATTGGATTCTGCCTGAATTATTCAGCACCAGTTAACGTCATAGCGTCCACAGACCCTTTGCAATTAGTCCTTGCTCTGAACATTTTGTGTATATATAGATGTATATAAAGGCATCGATGTTCAAGTAATAAACATCGCGTGTATATAAAATCACCTCTGTAACAATTGGTCGAGTCTTTGTATGATGTGTGTGCGAATGTTTCACGGTTTGACTGATAAGCAATGAAGCTTCACTCCAACTCGTGAAGCATTGAAGCTTCACCACACTGCACCCAATTCATGCACTTAAAGGAGATGCCGCAATTTCTTTTGCTTTGCTTGAGTGTATACACAAGCGCACACACACACTCACGAACACGGATAAAGAGTGGTTTAAACTTCCTCGCAAGAACTTTCTTGATAAAACACTTGTTGCTTATAATGTGCACTAGTCTGAGTGTCACCACATCACTCCCGAAGGCTAATCGTTTCCCTTTCGTCAAAAATGAAGTAAACCCGGTGCCATGTCTGCAATTTGAGGAGGCTAGGTAAGGGGCATTACTAGTTGTAAATGTTCACAAAAACAAAATGACACGTGCTAAGGCAGCCGCGTAAACAAGTAGAAGGAAATGATTTTGTCGTAATATATTGTTCCACAGAACGCTGCGCACGTCTTTTATGATTCAATGTTCCTTGTCGATCATCAAACAATGTGGTTTCTCTGGCTATCCAAAGTTTGATGACAGCAAGGATCCAAAGACGAAACAGTGAAAAGATAAGCTTTTTATCTATTGCTGGCATTATTTGAGGTCTTCCTAAAAATGACTATTAGTCGTGGTAATAGCGCGGGTGGACAGGCTAGCTGGGCAAAGTTTTATTGAGATATTTGTGTTATCTTCATTGAACGTTTCACTGCAAAATTGGAAGTTCGGGTTCCGGCATCATCGTTGCAAGTGCAGTAGGCAACCGTGCTCTCTGCGATATCTTGAATGCTCTAACTTCTGTAATTTGACGCTCGTTTCATTACTAGACGGAAAGCTTGGTTCCTCCCTGTCGAGATAAGAGCGCAGATGTTGACGCTCCGGTAGTCTCCGCAAAACAGCCACAGTGGCTTCGCGAGAGGGCCAACACGTCGCAGCAGAATAGAGCACTGCTATGGAAGGACTCACGTGTGAGTAGCATTTCGTCAACTTTTTGTTCATGAGGGGATGCACGCCTTAAAGCTTTCGGTTCAAGCTATAGGTGCTTAAGTTGACATGTAAAGAAAGAATAAGCATCCGATCAACCTGTTCGCGTCACAAAATGTACTGAACGGTATTCAGTGCTATTCAGAAAACATCGGCCCAAAGGGCACATCTGTTTATTTGTCATTTTATTTAAAAAGGGCGTATCTTTCACACCTAGACAGTTTTCATTTTTTTCTATGATTTAAGTGCATTGTTGTAAATTGATTTAACAGTGTGCATTGTTAATATAGTGACCACCACATTACCTGCAAACCACATTACAACTATGGACAGATGTGCAGCTTCGTCTGTCTATCTGTGTTCTTTCTCGTGAGGATTTCTCCCCATCGACACATATCATATATATGTATAGGGTAAAGTGAAAAATGAAAATTAGGAGGGTTAGCACTCGGTGATATACCAGTCGAGATTTTTTTTTTTTAGTTTCAGCGTGTGACTCAAGAATAGTCAGTAATCAAGATTAAGCTTGAGCTTCACCACACATTTTTCTTGTAAATGTATGCCTGGAAGACCCGCGATTTCAAGGTGAATGAAGAAAACAAAAACAAAAAGATTCTCCATTCACTTTCAAGTGTAATGTAAAGAGCTTGCATCGGACGATCGCAAAGCTTTTGATGTTTGTGAGAACATCGGGCCGAAAAAATGGCAGTGGTTCAGTTTCTTTTTCATGATATTCACAATAAAAACAATTTGAAGTAGAGGTTATATTTGGCAAGATTGTAAAATGACATTGTCTTGCCGAAATGAGACTCATTCGCACATATACCCTAGTGTGGGGCCCATTTCGCGAATCACGCTATATCTTTCGCGCTACTGGCCTGAACCGATGCGTCCGTAAATATGGAGCTGCGATGCTGAGCTGTAGGTTGGTGATTCAATACTAGCCATGCCGGCTACCCTTCAATTGGCGGAGAAGGCAGGTGATAATGAATCAGCGCAAGCATGTAAACAGGAGACGAGAGAATACAAGCTACAGTTATCCGAGCATCGCCTCTTTGTATTTCTTAGGAAAGTACTCTCACTCTAGTGCGCGTTGAGGAACACACAAGGCGTCAAATTTTATTGTTTACATGTAATCTACTGTGCAAACCATTGTCGTACCATGGTTTTGGCACGTAAAACATTCGTCTTAGATTGTTATTATTTTGGCATGTGCGAATTCCGTCAGAGTTCGCTGAAACAAGAAGGCTTTCTACAGTGTTTTGTTGACGACCTACCGTATTCTTGACCTGTCCATTGAGCCGAATGCCAGCATCCATTTGTGGCTTTTTTTTTGTATTGCTAGGGAACTTTTGGCCACGACTTTGGAGCTCCTAGTTATTCCTACCACGCAGTACCCCAGTGGTCATTTGCTCACATTGAATCAAGATGCTTACGCGTTCAGGCACACTTTAAAAGAAAAGAAAGTATGAACAAATGGCATTGATAGGGCTAAATTAGCAATAACAGCACGCCGTAACTGCGAGTCACGTGTGTGTGCGAGAAAAAAGCAAAAGTATTCCTAAATAGGGTGTGGCATTTATCAAGGCTAGAAAGCTTATTTTCTTTTGCGCACTGTGGTTATTTGGAGACGGTTTTATAACGCCGAGTCATAGTTTCAGTTTCAAAAAAAAAGTAGTAGGTTGGAACCCAGAGTGGTTTTCGTGAAAACAGCTGCTTACGTGGGCCCACAAAGTTGAGTGCACAACTGCAGCACGTTGGCAATCATTTTGCAGTTTCTTCATTTCATCACTTATCGTACACCAGATGCTAGAACATGAGCAAGAAGCTGCTGCTCTAGCATTTTAACAAGAGCCCCTGCCCAACAAAATTAGGCAGTAGAAAGTCAACTCCTTTCTCTCTCTCTCTCTCACACACACATGCACACACACACAAACACACACACACACACACACACACACACACACACACACACACACACACACACACACACACACACACACACACACGAAACTGGTGTTCATTGCTTTACACATAATCTCTTGAAAACATAACAAATAGAACATTCTAAATTGCTCTGCAATTATATAGTATAATAAATATTTCTTTTTTAAAGACACCAACACACTTCTCATTTTTTGGTGAAGGTAACACAACTTTTCCGAACAAAATCGAAAACATGTGTAGCACAGTGACACCATACAAATTTCCAGGCACATAACAGTATGTAAATTGACTTCCACACACAGCTGAAATGAAACATGTGTCATACCTAAGAAAGAAGCAAGAAAAGCTGATAGAAATATCGCATACATTAGTAACTCAGAGCCGCACGGCTAAGAAAACACTGCTTTAGCAATGTGACAAAGGAAATGGTATCTAGCTTATGTTTGTTTCCTTAAGGTTGGTAATTAGTACTAATATACGGTACAATAGCCTGTCTTTTTCATGATTGCTTAGCGAAATAGGAACCGCCTGAGTTTCTCGCTCTCTAATCTTATATTTTAGGTAAGTTGGTTGCTTCAATGTCACTTCCGAGATGGCGGCCGTGTTTCTCTCCGGGAGTTCTCAGGGCGCTTCGGTGCACGCGCTTGTTCATTTGCAGGCTGGAGACACCTTTAGAAAGACTGTGCGCTGCTTGGCGGCCATATTGGTTCAATTCTGTCGGTTGGCACACAGAGGCTAGCGTGAGTGACGCGCTCTGAAAATGTTGTCCTTGACGTATTGAGATCCGTTATTTGGCTGCTATGACAGGTTGATGTGTGCAACTGTGAACGAGATCACATGCGAAAGGCCAGCGGATGTTTCCTTTCTGTCGTAACAGCGAGCCAAGAAAGAAAAAAAATGGCAGAACCCACGTGCAGCGGTAATCAATAATATGCGAACCACGAAAGAAAAAGGTTGATATGGCACTATAAAATCAGCACAACATTAAGAGACGGACGTAAATTAGGCCGTGGATGACTTTCATGTTAGGATTACCATGTTTGCGCCTGAAATGTGTGCTCGTCTTTAATTCATGTTACGGAATACCAAATTTGGTACATGTGAAAGTAACAAATTGGCTGCCAGTACTCTAGAGCGTATCATGTAGTCATGTTTTACATGACACCCATGCCATTATTATAATGTTAAAACGTGTCATTTACCTTCGTCGTCTATTCACGTCACAAGATACCCCATGAGGTACACGTAGAGCAAGCAAAACTGCCGCAATCACGCTATGACCATAGCATGTAGTCATTATTGCATGACAAGCATATCACGTTTACCAAGTTTGCACGTTTGTACCTTTGTCATTAATTCACGTCATATAACACTAAAATTGGTTTATGTGGAGCTAGCGAAATGACCACAAGCACGCTATGAGCTTATATGATATATGTAAAGCTTGTGAAACTCCGTGAGCGCATTGTGAGCGTGGTTTGTTTTCATGTTCTGACATGACACGCATGTCATGATTATCATGTTTGCACCAGGCACATACCTTCATCAACCGTTAATGTCATGTGCGTAGCACTAAGTACGGATTTGTGAAGCTAGGGAAACAGCCGCAAGTACATCATGAGACTGGCATGCAGTCATGTTCTTTGATGTCACGCATCTCATGATTATCATGTTTGCCCAAGTCAAGTACCTTCGTCATCCATTCACGGGCCATAATAGCAAATTCGGTGTAGGTGAAACAAGCTAAACAACCGCGAACGCACTATGAGCGTAGCATGTAGTAATGTGTTACATGACACGCATATTAGGATTATTATGTTTAGACATGTCAATTACCTTCGTCGTCCGTTCACGTTACGTAAAACCCAATTTGGTATATGTGAAGCTAGCGAAATGACCGCGAAAACACCGTGAGCGTTGCGTGAAGTGAGGACTTACACGACACGCATGCCAGAATTTCCACGTTTGGGTCTTTCACTTCTGTTCGCCATGCAGTCATGCCATACAAGCTTTCCAATATGTCTGGTGAACGAAACCACCGCAATGCAGCAAGACCGTCATATGTAATATTCATCACGTAACTGTCATTATTTATTTATTTATTTATTATTTATTTATTTATACTGTCAACCCTCACTTGAGGGTCATTACAGGGAGGGAAGCATAGGATATGGAAAGTAAATACAGACATTGATATTTTCAGCACTTTGAACAATAACACAATAGCATATTCATTGCTCGGCAAAGTAAACATCAAGAGCACATTCAAATTTTTTAACGTCAGAATTTTCAACAATATGTCGCGGCAATTTATTCCACGCTTCTATAACATCAGGGAAAAAAGATTGGCGAAAGACGTCCGTGCGAGCACCGAAGGGGCGAACTGCCGCGTCATGATTGATCCGGCTGCTGAGCTTATGCGGGGGGTGTACGTAAATTGTTTTATCTATTTTTATTTGACCATGCAATATCTGGAAAAATACTTTTAGGCGCTGCTTTTGTCGTCTAATTTCTAGAGATTCCAAACCACTTAGTTTTAGCATCTCGGTAACCGAATCAGTCCTTTTATAATTCGAACATATAAATCGCGCGGAAAGTCTCTGAATTCGTTCCAGTTTATCTATTAAATCCTTTTGGTGGGGGCTCCAGGCAGCACAAGCATATTCTAAAACAGGGCGCACAAATGTTTTATATGCAAGCAGCTTGACGTCTTTCGTAGCATTCGGTAATTTAGCACGCAAGAAACGCAGTTTTCTGTAAGAGGCACAGCATACATTCTCGACATGTGCACGCCATTTCAAATCATTCGTAATATGCACTCCCAAATATTTAAATGCACACACCTGCGGTAAATAATTAGATTTATTTAGATTATTAGATTAGAATTAGATTAGAATTAGAGTCATGATTTTGGTGATATGACTAGTCTCTTAGGGCCGTCATGCCCTCATGTTATGACACACTAATATTGATATCGATACCATTATCGAAATGGCCAGGAGAGCTAAATGTCGTAGGCGTATAGATAAATAGATAG